CGGCACCGAGCGGCGGCGGCCCGGAGCCCAGCCCGGCCCCCGGCACCGACACCCCGGGGAGGCGGGCCCGAGTGCGGGACGTGGCCCGCAGCCTGGACCTGCACCCCGAGGAGGTGCGCGGCGTGGCCGCGATGCTGCGGCGGGTCCCGCTGGTGATGCACGGGCACCGCGCCAGGCTGGGCCGCGCCGCGGAGCCGCGGGACCGCGGGGCGGGGACGGAGCGAGCCCCCGCTGCCCGCAGAACCGCCCCGAAACCCCAGGGCACGCAGGCGCGGAGCCGGGACGGCGGCGGGGCAGGAGGAGGCGCTGCGAAGGCGGCAGGGACAGCGGAGCCCGCCGGGAGCGGGGACAGCCCCGCGGGGCTCGGCCGGCGGCAGCCGAGCGACAAAGCCGGGGCAGGAGGGGAGCGGGGCCGGCGGGGAGCGGAGCGCCCCGCGTGTGCTCTGCCCCCGGTCCCCCCCCTGGCGCTGGCAGTGGCACTCGCAGGGCACGGCCCGGGCACAGCCAGCGCGGCGCTCCGCCTGCGGGGACAGCCGCTGCCCCAGCCCGGCCCGAGCACAGCCCCGGGGCTGCCTCTGCCCCGAAGCCCGCCCCGCCGCACCGGGGCCCGCGCCGCCGCCTTGGAGTGGCTGCCAGAGCTGTACCCCGAGCCCGCGGGGCTCAGCATTGTCCCGGGGAAGCGTTGCCAGGAGGATGTGAGGATCGAGGTGGAGACAGCCGGGGCTGGAGTGGCGCAGGGGCAGCAAGGTAAGGAGAGCTGTGCCTGCTGGGGTGTGCTGGATGGCAGAGGAAAAATAGGGAACGGGAGAGGGAGGAAAAATAGGGAATAGGAAAGGAAAATCGGGCAGGGAATGGGAGAGGAAAAGTAGGGAGTGGGAGAGGGGGGTCAGGGAACGGGAGAGGAATAATAGGGAACAGGAGAGGGAAAATAGGGAATGGGAGAGGGAGAAAAAATAGGGAATGGGAGAGGAGGGGCAGGGAATGAGAGAGGAAGAGTAGGGAGTGCTGGGCTTGCCCAGGGCAGGATCCAGGAGAATCCAAGGAGGTTGAACTGGGCCTCCTCTAGCCTGCAGAGCCAACGGGTGATGTTGTTTTTATGGAGTCTTGGGCTGGTGGAGCCCCAGCGTTGTGGCAGAGGTGGTTCCCTCTCCTTCTCCCAGCCCAAAGTGCCCGTGCCATGCCCTCCCTGCTGCCCTGGCTGTGACCCTGCTGTGTCACCTGCAGGTCCCCTCTCCGAGAGGCCCCTGCTGGAGGTGAGGCTGGGCCAGCTGCACGCCTGGATCAGCACCTGCAGCTTCTCTCCCCAGGGGCTGCTGGGAGCAGTGCACAGAGGTGAGAACTCCTGCCTTTTGGGGCAGCTCTGTCCCACTTCCCTGATTTGCTTGGCTGGGCCAAGCAGCCAGCCTGGATCTTTACAAAGCACAAAGCATGGAGTGATGGAAGGCTCTGGAGGGACCACGAGGGTGATCCAGTGCCATTCCCTGCCCTCCACTGTCCCAGGTGGCTCCAAACCCCACCCAGCCTGGCCTGGGACACTGCCAGGGATCCAGGGGCAGCCAGAGCTCCTCTGGGCACCTGTGCCAGGGCCTGCCCACCCTCACAAGGAACAATTCCTTCCCACCCATCATCCCAACATCCATCTATCCCTGCCCTCTGGCACTGGGAGTAAACAAAGCTCCCCAACCTTTTGGCTCTGTCAAGCTGCAGGGAAGCAGTGAATCCCCAAGACCAGCCCATGGTTTATCCCTCTCCTTTCTCTCCCCACAGCCTGGAGCAGTTATTGTGCCAAGTACATCCACGTGAAGCAGGGGGCACCTGCTGGAATCTCCATGCTCCTGGCTGGCTACTGCCTGCTCAGCTATGGCTGGAACTATCAGCACTTCAGTAAGACTTCCTCTTTCAGGAATTCTTCCTTTTGCAGCACTTGGAAAGTCTGTTTAGCACCCCTGTTAATTAAAGCTCTGGAATAATTGAAATAATGAATTTATTTAAGCACTCCCCATTTAAGACTTAATACCAGAGCTCAGAGAGCAGGATTCTCTAGGTGGGCAGAGGAATTTGGTTATTTAAAGTGCTGACAGCAGTTGCTGACTCACAGCCTCTCCCTGGAGAGCACCAGGATTGTCAGGAGCACTGGGAAAAGCCCACACGGGCAGAGGGGGAGGAGTTCCAACAGGAGCTGCATTTCCTGATGGATGACAAGGGATTTGCTGCTGTTTGGGTGGTTCCCCCTGGCAGCACACAGACAGAGAAGCTGCACTTGGGCTGGAGCCCCCAAACAGATCCCTGTGCTCACTCTGGAATTATTTCCCCCCTGTTCTTCCAGAGCGGCACCGCTGGCGAAAATACCACTGAAGGAGCTGGGGCAGCACCCAGGGAGCAGCCACAGCTCTTGGGGGGACAGCAGAGCATCCAGGAGCAGGATCCCAGCAGGATTCCCAGCAGCAGGGGCCTGGCTGGGGCTGGAGCTGAGGAGGAGCCCCTTTGCAGGTCGGCTCGTGTGGCAGAGAGGTGACAGGGACAGCCTGTGGTCACCCCTCCGTGGCTCAGGCAGCTTTTAGTAGTGAAGTGAGAAAGCTTTAGAGGTACCTGAGAGATCTGTGGGGGCAGGAGAGCCCCTGCAGGCTGCAGAGTCCCAGATCCCTTGTCTGGGACAGGGGACACCACCTTGTCCCAAGCTGTCATTAGAGATTATTTGACAATTCTGCTGTAGCTGAGTGAATTTCAGCCCCAAGAACCATTCTCTTTAAATTCAGAGCTCTGCCTGGCCCAGCCCAGTTTGTACTCACGCCTTGTACTGGTGGGACTGGCCAGGACCTGTGTGAAGGCACTGGAGCAGCAGCTCAGACCACAACACCCTAATTCTGGGGAAGAAAAATCCATGGGATGAGCTGTTGTGCCCAAAGGGCAAACCTGTGCCTGCAGCAGGCAAACCAGGACAGTCAGGAGTGCTAGTTGGAGCCTGCCATTCCCAGACATGTCTGGGAAAGGGTTGCTCATAGTGCAGGCATGAAGGGCAAAAAAAAAAAAAAAAGCCAATGATTAAAAGTCTGAGCTCTTTATTCTGCAGAGTGCAGTAGTGCTGTGACAGAGGTGTTGCACCAAAAACTCTCACCAGCAATAAAAACCTGTGTGGCTTTTCCTTTCCTGCTTGGGTTGTGATCTCAGACGTGGTGCTTTGTGCCCCCTTCCCTGGGGATGAACACATCCTCACCCCTGTGCCCAGGATCGTGCCCCCAGCCCGTCCTGCACCCCTTCAAACCCTGGGAATGCTGCTGCTGCCCCGGCCTTCCCGCAGCCAGCGGTGCCAGGGGAGCAGCCAGCTGTGGCAGGTCCTGATTTCCATTGCATGAAGTGATTTCTGTGCTGCCTGTGCCAGCTGGGAGCTGGTGCTGGGCAAACCCTGCTGCCCTGCCCAGCCCAGTGCCGTGCCCGTGGTGTCCCGTGGTGTCCTCGTCCCCTGAGCACTGGAGTCACTTTCCCAGCAGCATTTCCAGCTGAGTCCTCCTGCTGTGGCTGGCACGGGGGCTGGCTGATCCTCTCTGGGGGCACAGGGAAGGGGTTTGTGCTGGATCAGCCCCTGCCATGTCCCCGTGTGTTCATTTTGAACATTTCCAAAGGAAACAGCACCCCAAGAGTTCCAGCTACACCAAACCTCTGAGGCAGAGGGATTTGTTGTTCCCAGGGTTCTCACCACTGGGTTCCCACCCCAGCTCCAAGGGGACAGGGCCAAATACCACAAGGAAAATCACATTCCCAATCAAAGAGGCTGTTTTGGGAGCACTCTGGGAATCCCCACAGCACCTGCTGCCCCTCACCCTCCCTCCAAGGTGAGACCACTGCTCCCAGCCCTCCCATTCCCCAAAATCTCTCACCTTGGAGCAGGTGCCTCCTTCCAGCAGGCTCTGAGGGCTCAGGGGACAGCCTCTGGTGTCCCACAGCTGAGCTGCCAGGTGCTGGGTGCCCCGTGGAGGTGGCTCCTTGGCTGGCACGTGCTGCCCTCCCCTCTCCTCTGCAGCAGCCAGATCCCTCTGTACCAGCCCCCAAGGGCATCCAGCTTCCTGGGGAAAGGGAGCAGAGGGGGCAGTTGGCACCTGCTGCCCCACAGGAGCTGGGGGGGCAGCTGGGGCATCGCCCCCGTGGGCACAGGGACAGCAGCTTCACCTTGGATGGGTCTGTGCTGCTCGTCATCAGCCCGGCCTTGAGGCTGGAGGGGACACAGAGGACAGGCTGTTACTCCCTGGGGTGTCCCCAGACCCTCCTGGGGCTCCCACAGCCCCCGAGGGATGTCCTGGGACTGGTACAGGCACCTCAGTGGGGACCAAGGCTGTCCCCAGACCCTTCTGGGGCTCCCACAGCCCCTCAGGGATGTCCTGAGGCACATCCATGGGGACCAGGACTGTCCCCAGACCCCCCTAAGGCTCCCACAGCCCCTCAGGGATGTCTCCAGACCCTCCTGATGCTCCCACAGCCCCCCAAGGATGTCCTGAGGCACCTCCATGGGGACCAGGACTGTCCCCAGACCCCCCTAATGCTCCCAGAGCCCCTCAGGGCTGTCCGGGGGCTGGTACAGGCACCCCCATGGGGACAGGCAGTTACTCCCTGGGGTGTCCCCAGACCCCCCTGAGCCTCCCACAGCCCCTCAGGGATGTCCCCAGACCCTCCTGATGCTCCCACAGCCCCCCAAGGATGTCCTGAGGCACCTCCATGGGGACCAGGACTGTCCCCAGACCCCCCTAAGGCTCCCACAGCCCCTCAGGGCTGTCCTGGGGCTGGTACAGGCACCCCCATGGGGACCAGGGCTGTCCCCACACCCCCCTGATGCTCCCACAGCCCCCCAAGGATGTCCTGAGGCACCTCCATGGGGACCAGGGCTGTCCCCTGCCCACCCACCACTGCCCCTGCTGCCATCAGCAGCACAGCTGGGGTGTGGGGTTTGGTTAATTCAGACCCTTTGTGTCCTTGTCCCTGACCCTGCAAGGCCCACAGCCACCTCAGAGAGGGGGTTTTATCCCCCCACACATTCCGAGCCCCCCCAGTACGTACTGCACAAACTTGCACTTGGGTCCCTCGGGGCAGAAGCCCACCAGGTAGTTGGCACACATCACCCTCCTCGTGTGCTTGTACTTGCACTGGGGACCTGCCAGGCACAGGGGACACTCAGGGACACGGCCCTGGGGAGCTCTGCTCTCCCTGCAGCCCAAATCCCAACCCCCAAACCCCTGCCCCAGCTCACCGTGCCAGCAGAAGCCACGGTCGTACCAGGGACAGCCCACGGCGCTGGAGGTGGCACCCACGTGCAGGAAGGGACAGTCCTTGCTGCTGCACTCACCTGCGGGAGCAAGGCGGGGGACAATCGGGACAACGCCCGCTCGCGTGGGCTGCATGAAAGGAATCGGGGTGCCCTGGGAGCAGCCGGGTTTGGCTGGGCTTGGGGACAGTGACCGACTGCGTGACAGTGACACTTCTTCCCGCAGTCGGGAGGTGGCATCAGCCGCTCGCTCGAGGCCAGCCCCGAGGGATGAGAGGGGTGGGAAGGGGCTCGCTGGGGTGCCCAGCCCCGCACCTACCGAACTTGGAGTAGAAATAGCACTCGGGCATCCTGGTGGCATCGTAGTCGTGCAGGAAGTCGCAGCCTTCGCCCCTCTTGCAGAGCCCTCGCAGCCAGTGCTTGCACACGGCGGGCTTGGGGTGGCCCTGCACACCTGGGACAGCCCTGTCACTGCCAGCCTGTCCCACTGCCCCACCTGGGACAGCCCTGGCACTGCCAGCCTGTCCCCACCAGCGTGTCCCCACTGCCCCTGCACACCTGGGACAGCCCTGTCACCGCCAGCCTGTCCCCAGTGTCCCTGCACACCTGGGACAGCCCTGGCACTGCCAGCCTGTCCCCACCAGCCTGCCCCCACTGCCCCTGCCCCACCTGCATCCACAGCCCCAGGGCAGGGAGGGCTTCACCTGCTACCCCCAGTGCTGTCCCCACAGGGACATTGGGGACCCTGGTGCTCCCCAGCAGCTTTGCCAGCTGCATCCCTGAGGGAGCAATGCCCAGAGCCAAGACAAAAACCACCCAGGTGTTGTGGGAGGGCAGCAAGAGGAGAACCCCAAAAGCTCCCACAGCCCCACCACCCTCCAAAAACGCCACAGCCCTGTCCCCAACTTACTGTCCACCCCCGGGAAGGGCAGGGGCCGAGCTCTGAGCTCCTCCACAGCAGCCTCCGAGTCAAACGTGATCTTCTCCACGCCAGCCACCAGCTCCTGCATCATCCCTGCTGTGGGGTGTTCCAGCCCGGCAGGGGAAGGGGAAGAGGCAAGGGAAGAGGCAGGGGCACTCCCCAAGGAAAACACAGCTCTCCAAAGGGAGCACCACGCCCTGGAGGTCCCTGCAGCCACCTCAGGCCCCAGCAAAACCCTCCTCTTCCTCCTCCTCCCCAGGCAGAGCAGCAGCAGCCCAAGCAGCCCCGGAGTGCTGCATTTGAAGGGGGGAGCTGCCCACATCTGATCCCAATTTGCAGCCCTGATTGCCTGGTGCCGCAGCTGGGGAGCTCAGCCCCGGGCCCCAGGCAGCCCCTCTCAGCCTCCCTGCTCCCACATCTGCTTCTCCTCCAGCAAACCCGGCTGGGGCTGCCTGGGAGCTGGGTTAACCCCTCACTTTGAGGCCTTACATGGAGACAAATATGCCCGGAGTGCTGGGACTGAGCATTCCACCAGCACGGGGCGGATGCTGGGTGTGTTTTGGTGTGCTCTGGGCACAGCAGCACCGCCCCAGGCCTGCTTGGCAGGACAGACCCACATCCCTGGGCTCCTGGAAGGGGCCACACCTTGCATCCCAACAATGATGGAATGGTTTCTTGTGGAATGCTCCTCGGAGCCCTTCTTGTTCCATCCACAGGCAGGGACACTTCCACTGCGCTGCCCAGCAGCCCCTTCCATCCCTGCTTTGGGGCTTTCATGGGTGCCAGGCTCCAGTGGCACATTCTGGGCATGACCAGGGCTCGGTGGCTTTCCTGGAGCCCACCTGGAGCAGAGCCCCTGGATTTACCCCAGTGTTCCATCTCTGCTCCATCCCTGCTCCATCCCTGCTCCATCCCTGCTCCATCCCAGCTCCATCCCTGCTCCATCCCAGCTCCATCCCAGCTCCATCCCAGCTCCATCCCTGCTCCATCCCTGCTCCATCCCTGCTCCATCCCAGCTCCATCCCTGCTCCGTCCCTGCTCCATCCCCTCTCCATCCCTGCTCCATCCCTGCTCCATCCCGGCTCCATTCCTGCTCCATCCCTGCTCCATCCCCTCTCCATCCCTGCTCCATCTCCTCTCCGTCCCAGCTCCGTCCCGCGGCCACGCTCAGCGCCCCGGGCTGACACGGCCGTGGAGCCCTGCTCCCATTCTGTCACTTGCCATCAGAGCACTGGAGCAGCAGTGCCACAGCGCTGCCCGTGGGTGCTGCAGGGCGCTGGGCACCCCGCAGCCCGTGGCACAGCCGGGTGCCACCCCGGGGCTGTGACAGATGGCCCTGTGCCCACCGCGGGCTTGGGGGAGGCTGGGGGTGCAGCCTCGCTGCCTGTGGCCAGCGCTGGCCGCACGCTGGCGGTGCTGGTGTCACTCCCAGCAGCCCAGCACACGTGGCACTGTCCCTGTCCCCGCTCCCTCCCGGTGTCGCAGGCTGTCCCGTGGATGGGGCTGTGTCCCGGCTGTGCTCAGCAGCCCCGCTCGCTTTCTGCCCCATCAGCTCCATCAGCGCGGCGCTGCCGAGCCCGAGCCTGGAGCCGACAGGCGTCACAAAGATCAGCGCGGCCAAGTGACAGTGGCAGGCGGCCCGTGAAGTGTCACCCCAGGGCTCCTCCCCGCCCCACAGCCCCGGGGAGCAAAGCGGGCAAAGCCCAGCGACCAAAGCTCGCTGCTTTGTGCCCGAGCACCCCTAAGGAACAAGAGGAGCCAGCTGTCCCCCAGCAGCCTGGTGACACCCCAGGTGACAGTGAGCAGGATCATTGGCTCAGGGGATGGGACATGGGACCCTGGCACAGGGCAGGGGGCACGGTGACCAGGGCAGAGGCAGCCTGCTGAGCTCAGAGCCTCCAGCTGCAGCTGCTGTTGTTCTCCCTGTCCCAGACAATGGCCCAATGTCCCCTGCCCAGGGTGACAGGACAGGACCCCATTGTGTCCCCACTGTGGCACAGCCTTTGCCCGCTCCCCTGGCTTCTCCAGGGAGATCCATTTGGGTGGACAGGGGCATCCAGCCCCTCCCAGGGCTGGGAGATGTTTGGGGGGATAAATCATTCCCTCTCTCCAGTGAGGAGCTGAGTGCTCAGGGAAAGGCTGTGGGGCCATTCCTGGCACTGTGCCCCATCTCAGCCCAGCTCCATCCGAGGGGCTGGAGGGAGAAGTCACTCCCAGCACTGGCAGAGCCCCATTTCCCCAGTGGCTGAGCTGTGGGAAGCTGGCTGTGGGATCAGAGTGACTCCTGCTCTCTCTGCTGGGATCATCCAGGGCCACGGCAGCCCCACAGGGCCGGGAACCCCCAGGGCAGCCCTTGGCCCCCAGCCCGTGGGAGCAGGGACAGCCAGTCCTGCCCCCCCAGCACCGCCCCCTCCTCCCCGGCTGGGGGAGGAGAGGGCAGCGTTGGCAGAGCCAGCCCTTGGCAGGAGCTGCCTGGCCCGAGGGTCCCAGCCCCGAGCCAGATCCGGCCAGCAGGAGCTCTCCTGCTTCCTCAGGCAACGGGCAGAGAAAGCTGGGCCACGGCAGGTGCCCACACTGCGGCCAGGATGGGCAGCAGGGTGGGGGCAGCAGCACAGGGCTGGTGGCAGCACAGGGACACCGGTCCTGCTTGGGCAGCAGGTCCCCACCACGTGTCACCCCTCAGGAACTCAGGCCACTGCAGTCACTACCATTTCCTTTATTCCTTGCATTTGTACATACACGGTATAAAACCTCCTGCTCCAGCCGCCTGCTCCCGCCACTGCCCGGCCCACGGCACACCGGGATCCCAGCGGCTTCCAGGTGCTCCTCCCACAGGGGACAGACCCACACTTCCATCAGCATCCCTGGAGCTGGCTGGGAGCGTCCCTGTGAGCCCCAGGCTGGTTGGAGGGTCAAGCATCTGGGATGGAACCATCCATCCATCCATCCATCCATCCATCCATCCATCCATCCGAGGGATGGGGAGCGAGCACCTGCCACGGCACTGGGAGCTCTTGGTCTGCAGAAAGTCCCCAAGAAACCCCAGAAGCTGGAGCTGCCCATAGTCCCAGGCCACCTCTGAGCTCCAGAGCCAAGTTCTTCCTCATGGGAAATCTTCCCTCAGTTAAAACCAAAAGAGAGTAGAGAAAGGTAAGTACAAATCAGAAAACAGTAAAAACTGTGCGGTGGAAAATAGATATATATTACTAAAAGGGCTAAACTCCAAAGGCTCGTCTTGTTGGATCCTAAATCGCTTTACACGGGCAGGGGAGCAGGAGAAAGGAACTAATATTCAAAGTCCAACAGAAAGAACCAAAATCAAGTCTGCTTCCCCCTCCCAGGAAGTGCTGGAGCTGTGTGGGGGCTGTCAGAACGGCCCCGGGAGCAGAGCGCTGTCCTGCCTCAGCACACAGAGGGAGCGAGGCAGGAGTCGAGTCTTCCCCAGTGCCACCAGTTGGGGTGTTCAGCCCTGTGTCCAAGAAACCTCAGTGAGAACCTCGGCTGGGCCTCCTTTATACCCGGATCTCGTCGTCATCTTCGTCAGCAAACGAGAACTCCTTGTCGGGGCGTTTCAGGGGTCCCCCCCTCTGGCTCGGTGGCCTGGGGACAGGGCTGCGCTCCTCGGGCCCCGAGGGGCAGCTGGACACTGGACTGCTGTCCCTGGGGCTGCGGCCACCAGCGCCACGGGCCGGGCTCTGGCTCGGCAGGGCCGCCAGCGGGGAGCCAGGCGGGGCAGGCTCCCCTTCCTCCTCCTCCTCCTCGCGGCTCTCCTCCGCCTCGGGATCTTCGTCCTGCTCCCACTGATCCTTATCCATGATGCTCAGCACGTCCCCGAGCATGGAGGGCCCCAGGTCGATGTGGAAGGACATGATGGACTCGGCGTGCTTCAAGCCCGCGCCGCCCTTGGCCACCACCACGGGCAGCTCCGTGATGTCCCCGAAGTCGCGCTCGTCCAAGCCGGGGCTCAGCGGCCCCGCGGCCGCCCCGTTGGGGCGCTGCTGCTCTTCGGGGCTCCCCTCCTCGGGCAGCTTCTTCACGGGGCTGGACGAGAGGCTCTTGGGCAGCTGCCCCGCGCTCCTGTCCACGTCCTTCTCGTTGAGCTGGGGCAGGGACACGGCGTTCTTGACGAAGAGCGCCGAGTCGCGCAGCGAGCCCAGCATGTCCCGCCGGTCCCCGCGCGTCACCGACTGCGAGCGCTTGCTGCTGCGGAAGCGGCGGGACAGCAGGCCGGGCTTGGAGGCGCCCGGCTCCTCTCCCGCCTCCGGCACCGGCTCGCCGGCCTTGCTGGTGAGGAAGGAGGTGTCCCCGAAGGCGTCGCCGGCGCGCCCCACGTGCATGGTGTGGCGGAAGTCCCCCAGGGGCGCGCTGATCATCTCGGCCGTCAGGTCGGCCCTGGAGCGGCGCTTGGAGTGCGCGGAGTTGGACACGAGCTGCTTGAGGATCGGCATGGTGGCACCCGGGAGAGGCTGTGCCACGCCGGCTCCCGTGCGCGGGGCTCTCAGATGGGGCTCACAGATGGCACCGGCGTCACGGGTGGGTCACTCCTAGGGGAGAGGAGGGAGGGACACGGTCAGGCTTCGAGGATGTGGGTGGGGCACCAGATTCCATCCCACCAAGCTGCAAAATGGGACCCTGTGCCCACCAGCTGCTTGGCTCTCCCGGGAATTGGCTCCATGCAGGGCATCATTCCACATGGGACACATCCTCAGACCCCTCAGAGCTCCCCACACCCCCAGACCCACCCTGGAGCAGAGAGACCCTCAAGAGAAAGACCTGGGTACAGAAATCCCTCAGGATGATCTCTGACTCTGTGCCCCACAAGAGAGGCACCACGGGCACCCTCTGCCCTCCCCGTGCAGCCCCAGCCCTCCTGAGCGGGGCACGGCAGCTCCAGCCCCTGCGAGCAGCACGCTGAGAGGATGCCTGGGATTTTATTTTTTTTTTCTAATTGGAAGAAAGCGGGGAGGAGCAGACGCCAGGAGGAATTGGAAACAGACGGCAGGAAGTGTGTGAGGAGGGCGTAGAGCCCCCGGGAGGCACCGCCAGCCGAGCAGGGGGACGGGGGGACCAGGATGGGGACCCCTTCATGCTTGGCAGGACGGGGGTGTGGGGACACTGCTTTGCTGCCGCCCTGGAGCCCCCCAAAACCCTCCGTGCTGCCCCTGGGAGCTGAGTCCGTGTGCGGCCATCCCCACCCTCCCCAGCGGTCTCATGGTCACCGCTGTGACTCAGAGGTGACAGAAATGACGAGGGCTCTGTCCGACCACAATGGCAACGGGCACAACCGGGCACGTTACTCCTTCCCTCGGCCACCTCGGGGCCACCAACCCACCCGTCCGACCCAGCGCCCGCAGCCACGCAGAGGGGACAAGGACAGCGGCCGTGTGGCCGCATCCCGTGGCGCCAGGCAGCCCCAGGTGGTCCCGGGAGAGGCTGCCGGGGAGGAAGGGCTCGTGGCCGCCCTCTTCCTCCCTCCGGGCACCGCCGGCGACACCGCGCCCCGTGACACGCACGGGGAAGGGACGCACGTGTGGCCTCGGAGCGAGCCGTGGGGCGGGGGCCGCGTCCCCCGCGGTGCCCCAGGGCAGCGACGGCCCCAGCACAGCCCGGTCCTGCCCGGCTGGGCACCACCGGGAGCCGCAGCACCACCCCACACTGCCCAGGGGACACCTCCATCCCCTCATCCCCCGCAGGAGCAGCAGCACCGCAGGCTGTGCCGGGCAGGACGGACTCTGGCCCCACGCTGGGGCAAAGTCCCTTGCCCCACCCTCCCATGCTGGCTCCCGGATGGGCCTGGCCAGGCAGGAGTGCCCTGCGGCACGGCCCTGGTGGCACACGGCCACTCTCCCTGTCTGGCACCCCACCAGCCCAGGGAGGCACAGCCTGAGCCCCCAGGGGATGATGGCACATGGGGGACTGGCTGGGGAGCCCCCAGCACACCCCCAGCAGCTGGGGAAGCCACCAAGGAGCCACAGCTCCTTCCCTGCACCTCAAGCAGGAGCCAGGGGAATTCCTTCCCCCCCCAGCCCAGAGGAGCAGCTCGCTGGGCCTGCTCCTCTCTGGGATCTCCCGCTGCCCGGCCGGGCGCGTGTGCATGGCACGAACGCCTTCCCCTTCCAAGGTCTCCTTCCAGGCCAGCATTCCTGCAGCCTCTGCTTTTCCATAAAACAAACACTCCCGGCGAGCTCCCCAGCTGGGCCAGGCAACCGTGCTGCTGATTTAGGCCATCTGGGGACTGTCCCTGCCTTGTATTTAGATTTCGGGGCCAAGTTCAGCATTTGTGAGATACTTTGCAAGCCGCGGCAAAGGGGCCACCGGGAGGTTGGAACGGTCCCAGCCGGGCCAGCAGTGCTCCATCACCCTCACAGCCTCCACAGCAGCAGCGTGGCCCCCTCCCCTAAACGCTCCAGCCCACGGAGCCTCTTCACAGCAGCCAAAATCTCCCCCCACCCCTCGATGCCCTCGAAAAGGGCTCCATGTCCAGCTCGCCCTGAGAGGCGATGGCAGCACAGATGGACATGCTGCCCACACAGCCCGGCCCGGGGAGCTGGACACAGAGCCCTTTTCTCCTCCTGTCGCTCGGGGAGAGCAGATCCTGTGACATTCCCGCTGCCGGCGCTTTCACAAAGGAAACCAGGCCAGGGAGGCATCGCTCGCCTTTCCAGCCACCCACCAGGGGAAGCTGCTGGTAACCCGAGAGACTTCGCAGGCACCTGGCAGCACTGCCCAGAGCAGAGCCAAGCCCCAGCAGGGCTTTGGGGCAAGGGGAGGGGACAGTGCCTGCACACACGGGTCGAGGACAAGGGGGATAACTTGTACTGACAGCCCTGTGCTGCCTCCCACCTGTCCTCTGAGCCCTGTGGGATCTCACTCTGAGGAGTGAGAACCTGAGGTGCCCAGGGACACAATTGTCCCTGTAAATGAGTGTCTGCTTGTAGGACAGCGCAGCCAGCACAGAACTGGGACAGCCTGGCCAGGCCCACGTGCCCTGGTGGTGCAGGCTTCCCACGAGACCCCCCCCTCCATCCTCTCCATCCCATCCTGCCCAGCCTCAGTCACCCGTGGGGACCAGAGCGAAAGTGGCTCAGAGAAGGAGGCCAGCGAGTGAGTGCACGCAGGAGCCACGCCAAGCCCAGCCACATTCCCGTGCATCCTGCCCCCAGCTCTTCCCGCTCACAGGCTGGGAAAGCCAGGCTGGGAAAGCATCCTGGCCGGCCCAGCCGGCTCCAAACGAGCTCCCCAGCTTCCCCATGCAGAGCCCCCCAGGCAGCACCCCGAGATCAGAGGATGCTCTCCCCGCCCTGCCCGGCGCTGGGGCAGGGGCTGTGCTGGACCGGTCGGGTCCCCCACGCTGCCCAGGGCCAGGGAGAAGCCACACACGGGCCAGGGAGGCCACCCCGCCCGCTCAGCCCCCTCTGGGGTGCGCTGCCCCTCGGGGATCCTTTGATCCTTTGATGTTGGAGCCTGGCAGACAGCAGCCGGAGACAGGGCACGGATCACACCCCGCCACCGCCGGCCCAGGAGGGGACCCAGCCGCTGTCACACCCTCGGCTCTGCTCCCCAGCGAGTCTTCCCAGGGCCCGGGGGCAGGCGGAGCTGTCAGTGCGGGCAGCCCCGGCGCCCGGTGACCGCCCCCACCCCGGCGCGGTGACAGGTCTGGTCCTGTCCCTGGCATGGGGACGCCGCTGCAGCGCAACCCCGGGATGCACCGAGCGGCCTCTGGAAGTGGGAAAGGCACAGGCAGCGAGCTCCAGAGCCGGGGATGGAGAGATGGCACACGGGGAGGGAGGAGAAGCTTGGCTCCCACCAGGGCTCTCGGCACACGGATCAGCACCGGGCTGGGAACTCTCCGCCTGTGCCAAAAGCAGAGAAGCGCTCCCGGAGGGACTGCCAAGAGCCAGGAGGGAGCCAGAGTTCAGCAAGGAACCGCTGGCAGGACACGCCAGAACACGCACAGGGCCATAAATCCTCCAGCTGCGGGGCCACGAACCAGCCCGAGGCTCTGCGGGGCCAGGAGGGGACTTTTCCGGGGGGAAAGGCTATCTCCTCGCTGGCCCTGCCACAGGGGCTGGCCGGGCTGCCGCAGGACACCGGGGCCGAGCAGAGCTCCCGACCCGCCGGGCTCCGGATTCCTGCGGTTTCGCTGGGCTGGACGGGAAGTCAGCAGGCAGACTTCCCACGGCGCGGCCCCGCTCCCTCCCTCCCTACCTGCCGGGGGCCCGGAACGCCCCGGCCGGCTCGGGGGGCCCCGGGCGGCTGTGTGCGCTCAGGACAAAACGCAGCGAACAAAGGGAGCGAGCGGCACGGTCAGCACAGGGCCGGCGGCAGCGGGGGCCGGGGAGGGAGCCGGGGATGGGGTCCAGGGCAGGCTCGCTCTGCACCCCCAAAACGCACTGCGCCTCCTCGGTGCTAAACCTCAGCGGGAGTCGCTCCGCGGTTTCCGAGGGAGCTGCGTCCAAAACAGATTTGTTTACTGCGTGCCCGGCTGTCCTGGCTGCAGAGATCGCCCGCTGTGCCTCAGTTTCCCCCCAGAGCCCATTAACGATCCCTTTAGCACAGCTCTCCTGCTCTATAGATCCCAACTCCCTTTGGAACAGCCTTGCTGATCCATAGATTCGGCGCTTGGAAACATCCATACTCCGCGCTGCCGCCGCCGCCGGGGTCACACCGGGGCGGCGTGGGACGAGTCCAGCGCCCCGTGAGCGCTCGCTGCCCACGGACCCGCGGTTCCACGGGCACCGGAGCGGCTCTGGGAGCCAGCCCCGTGCCCAGCGCCGCCAGAGCCGGGCAGTGCCTCTCTCCGGGCACCCCTGGCAGCGGTGAGTGCCGCCCAGGCACGGGCAGCGGGGCGGAGGGCAGGCTGCGGTCAGCCGGGACCCCTGTCCGGGGCACCGGGGAACGAGCGGGACGGGGATTTCGGGCGGCTCTGACTCAGCAGCCGCCGGCGCCCAGCCCGGCCAGCCCCGGGGTGCCGCTGGAGCCGCTCCAGAGCGCCCAGGATCCACCTCCCCGACACGGGCCGCGGGCAGCCACCGCCCCGGCCGCGACCACCGCCAGCTCCGGCCGCCGCCACCCCCGCGCGGGGCTCGGGGGCCGATCGCCGGCGGGGCGGGGTGCGGCGAGCCGGGCCGGTGCCCCGCGCTGGGCAAACAGCGCTCCGCATCCTGTTAACCCCTTCGCCCACCCGCGCCGCGCACCGGCCCCACGGCCCGGCGGGGAACGAGGCGGGGATCCCGGCCGCCCCTCTGCCCGGTACCGGAGCGCGGCAGCGCCGGGGACCCCGCCCGCCGGACAATAGCCGAGCTGAGCGCGGCGGGGTCCCCGCCGGGCCGCCGCGACCCCCGGAGCCCCCGGTGTCCCCCCCCGTACCTGCTCGCCCGGGCCCCGCCGCCGCCGCCGGTCCATGGCCGCGCCGCGCCGGAACGGAGCGCCCCCCCACCCCGCGATGACATCATCGCCCCGCCCGGACCAATGGCACAGCGCCACGTCACGGGGCGGTCCCACGCCCTCCATTCAAACCCGAGTGGGGCGGGGGGGGCGGAACCGCGGGCCCCGCCCGGGGCCGGGACAGGGACAGGGACAGGAGCGGGGTCAGCAGCGGGGACCCGCACCCCCGGGGATGGAGGCACCGGCCGGGCACCGGGCTCTTCCCGCGGGGGTCACGAGTGGGGTCCCCCGCGGCAGAGCGCGGAGCTGGCCGCGCCCCTGGCAGGGCGGCGGGGCCGAGGTGGTGGTGGGTGACCCACTCTAATTAATTAAGGGCAGTTAAGGACCGCGCTGAGATGCCAGGAGGAGGCGGCTTCAGCCTCAGATGCCCCCGTTGCACTCGTGACCGTGACACCCACGAGGCTGCACCCACATCCCTCCTGTGCCCCATCTCCCTATCCCCAGCCAGTCCCACTGCTCGAGCCCTTTTGGGGGGGCGTGGGGTCCCTCCAGGCCGTGGGTGGGCGGGACACGATGGCAGGGGGTCCGTGGTCACCCCAGGTGCTCAGTGTGGGTGCTGGTGGGGGGCTCCACGTTCCCAGGGATGGATTCCACGTTCCCAGTGATGGGTTCCACGTTCCCAGGGATGGATTCCACGGCCCCCGGGATGGGTTCCACGGCCACCGCGGCCCCCCCGGCACTGGGGTGAATGCCGAGACCATCCCAGCCCCACCGGCTGGGCTGAAAGGGAGAGCGCTGCTCTGCACAGCCGCTGCTCGCTCGCTCGCTCGCGGGGATTAAGACCAGACCTTTGTGGGAGAAAAGGGGCGGGAGAGCCCAGATTATCCCGAGCCCGCCTCATGCAGCGTTTCGTGCTATTCCGGAGTGCCGGGCGTCTCCGCGGAGGGAGGCAGGGCGGTGGGCAGTGGGTGCTGGGCTGCTCTGGCCACGCCACTCTGGGGGTCTGGGGTCTCTCGGGGTCTGGGACACGACGCTGCGGGGTCCGGAGGTTTCTCGTGTCACCGGTGCAAGGAGCTCCGGTCCCGTTGTGCCAGCGCTGGGTGGGCTCAGCTGGGGCTGACGCTTCCCTCCGTGGGAAGGAAGCGGTGCCACCACGGAGCAGGCAGCGAGGCGCTGCGGAGATGCTGGGATTGGCACCCAGGGCACAGCTCTGCCCCCAGCCCGGGTGCCCAGCACCATCCCGCTCACACCCGTGTCTCCATCCTGGGCTGTGCTGCTTCCTCCGCTGCCGTTTTCACAGCTCATTTTATTGGCAAATTTTATTTTCCTTGCTCTCCGTACAGAGAAGCCGAGGCCAGAGGCAAAGCCCCGGGCCCGCAGTTGAGGAGGGGCCACCTGCGGATGCAGCAGAGGGTTTTTGGTAGGTGAGGAGGAGGAGGAGGGTTTGCCCCAGCCCCCAGACTCACCTGGACCCTCTCACGTGGGAGTGCAGGCACTGGAAGGCTGTGGGAGCCCCGTGCAGGCACTGGAAGGCTGTGGGAGCCCAGTGCAGGTACTGGGAGGCTGTGGGAGCCCAGTGCAGGCACTGGGAGGCTGTGGGAGCCCTGTGCAGGTACTGGGAGGCTGTGGGAGCCCGGTGCAGGTACTGGAAGGCTGTGGGAGCCCGGTGCAGCCCTGCTGGCCTCACCTGCCGCTGTCACGGGAGCGTGGAGATGGCTGAGACAGCGCAGTCGGCAGGGATTAGCATCACCCGGCTGGTGGGAGCCGCCGGGAAGGCTCCCGAGGGCTGGCCTGGCCCCGGCTGGGAAGAGCAGGCAGTCCCTCAACTTGAAAAACTGCCTGGGAGAAACGGGCCCCCTCCCCTTGGAGCCCCTGGGCCCTGGGGAGGGAGCCCGGATCGCTCCCGCCCTTCCTCAGCCATCGCCGCTCCTTTTGCTGCTCCTCAGCAGCTTTTGAAAGCAAAGGAAAAAAAGAAAAGGCTTGAAAAGCACTTTGAAAAGCAGGGCAGGGAGAAGCGCCCGGGTTCCCGGCAGCCCCGTCCCCTGCTCCTGCTGCCAGCGCCTGCCAGCTCTGTCTGCCGGCGCTGCCGAGCCAGCGGGGAGCTCCCCCCGAGCTGGGGCATCACTGTCCGGACACCCCCGGGTGCCAGAACAAAGCAGTGCCCCCACAGCCCCCCAGAGCCCTCCAGCCCCGCGGCCCAGCGCTGGCTGCTGCCAGAGCCCCCCAGTAACCCTGCAGACACCCCCAGGGCCCGGGGCTGCTGCCAGAGCCCCCCAGTAACCCCACAGACACCCCCAGGGCCCGGGGCTGCTGCCAGAGCCCCCCAGTAACCCCGCAGACACCCCCAGCCCGGGGGTGACACCTGAGCAGACACAGGGAGCCCTGGCAGGATGCTCTGCCCCTCCTGCTGGCACCTCGGCCAGGTGGGCACCGGCACCCCTGGGTGCCCTGGGCAGGGTCTCCGTGCAGCCCCTCACCTTTCCCAGCTGGCACCCCCTCCTGGCTGGCAGTGCCAGGGAATGGGGATGGTTTTCCCCCAGGAATCATCCCCTGGCTGGGCTGCAGCCCCTCGGGACAGCCTTTCCAGCCTGGAGCTCCATGACACTTGAGGCCCCTTCCAACCCAAACCATTCCATGGTCCCACCTGGAGTGTGGCTGGCACAGGGACCCCTGCAGGGCACCCAGGGCGTGGGGCAGGGCAGGGGGCACGGACCCGGCTCCGTCCTCTGCGCTGCTCTGCTCCCCTCTCCTGCCAGCCTGGCACGGAGCAGTGCCCCGGGCACCGGGCTCTGAGGATGCGCCGAGCCCCGCCTGGCCCCGGTGTGGCAGGAGGGGCTGTCCCTGTCCCCAAGGCAAGGGAAAGGTGGGGACATGACACACTTGGCTCTGTCCCAGGAGCCGGCAGGGAGCCGGAGATATCTGCAGGACAGGGAGAGCCCAGGCTGCTTCCAAAATAAATAAATTAAATCACAGATTGCACCCAGGATTTATCGGCCACAACCCTGATTTTTGGCACATCAGCATCTCCTCATCACAGCTGGAGAAGGGAACAGGTCCTGCTCCAACGCTGCCCCCTGCACCCACCACACCTGGGGCTGCCTCGTGTCCCCGTGCCCCCCTTCGGCTCTGCCCTGCTCTGCCCTCGGGAAAACCACAGGGCAGGAGCAGCCCGCTCGGGAGAAACGTCAGGGCCGGTTTGGTCCTCGGGGAGAGATCGGTGCTGACAGCTCACCCCGCCTGACCGGCACGGAGCAGCCCGGAGGGAACGGGAATGGGAACAGGAACGGGAGTGGGAGCGGGTGGCCCTCTGCCCTGAACCAGGATGGTGGGGAAGGAATTTGGGAAAGAGCTGGTTGGAAGTGGAGGTGGGAGGGAGGTGGCCAGGCTCGGTGCCTCCCCCTGCGAGCCCGGCTGGTTTCACTTCCTCTGTTCCACGGGGAAACTGAGGCAGCGCAGCCCAGCAAGAGCTCTCCCCCGTGCCGCTGGCACCCAGCCCACCCCTGCCGTGCCCACAGCACCCTCTGCCGTGGTGGGAGGTGGGCTCTCCCCCCTTCCTCGGGCGCTGCATCCCTCGGCCGTGGGAAGCCGCGGGCTCGGAGGGCTCCTCCCGCCCTCGCCACCTGGCACCGCGGCCACAGCGTCACCCGGGGCACGGCGCCAGCGCCGAACCTGCCGCAGGTGTGGCTGCACCCTCGGGCACCTCCTGGCAGCCAGCCAGCAGCTGGGTCAGGGCAGGCCACCGGGCCTGGGCTCGGCTTGTCCCGGTGCTGGGAGCACAGGCAGACCCCGCACGGGTGGGGTCCAGGGCGAGCATCCCCGGGCCAGGGATGGAGACGGGTGTGGGGAGCTCGGGGCTCGCAGGGCTGGCACTTTAATTTCTTTTTTTCCTCACCAGGGCACAGCCCTCACCAGGGAGCCGCCCCGGTACCAGGAGCATCTCTGTCACGAGGAATGCCCCTTGCAGGGGTGGCAGCCCTTGCACAAGCAGCGTTCCTTGCTCACCTGTGCCGCCCGACTCCCCAGACCGGCCCCGCCCCTGGCCCGGTGGCAGGAATGTCCCTCTTGCACAAGCGGGGACGCCCGGGGCTGGAGCTGGGCTGCACACGGGGAGCAGGAATTGCTCAGCCAGCCCTCTGTCCCATGTCACCGTCCCCAGGAGTGGGGTGCCAGGGCTCCCCGTGCTGCCCAGGAGCGGATGGGCACCCCTGGGGGCTGCCCTGCCTTGGGCACCGGCTCCAAGCAGGCCAGAGGAGCCCCCAGCAATGCCAGCTGCCCTGGGGCCACCGTGAGCCGGTCTGGGGACAGACGGTGACCGTGGCAGCAAGGCCAGCCCTGCAGCCCAGCTCTCCCAGCCCGAGGAGGAGCTGCAGCGCTGGTGCCCAGTGCAGCACCTGCACAAGGCTCCCCTGGCAGCCCCCTGCCCAGCCAGGGCGAGGGTCCCAGGATGTGGCTGCCAGGGGCTCCCCGGTGCTGTGACAGGCACCGTGCAGCCCCCACGGCCCTGGCAGCCCCTGGCATGGACCTGGTGCTTTGTGAGCCCTGCCCACCCCCAGCCCGAGGCAGCTGGTGAAACCTGAACACAGCACCTGGAATTTCCTGCCAGGCCCGGGGGGCTGAGCAAGAGACAACGGCTGTGAACAGCCCAGGAGCATCCCCAGTGCCAGGGCTGTGGCTGTGAACAGCCCAGGAGCATCCCCAGTGCCAGGGCTGTGGCTGTGAAGAGCCCAGGAGCCATCCCCAGTGCCAGGGCTGCTGCTGGCAGTGCCCAGAGCACGGTGCTGCCCCATCACCCCATTGCTCCACTGCAAAGGGAACGTGCAGGGCACGGCCACCACAGCTCCCTGCACCTCTGGCACCCCTTGCCCGGCCCCTCCTGGTGCCATGGGGCTGCCACATGCCCCGTGGGACAGCAGGACACACGGACACATGGCATTGGGCCTTTCTCTGGCAGAGCAAGGTGACAGAGAGGGGACACACTTGTCCTCAGGCTGTTTATTGGCATCTCCCTCGGCTCAGCCCGGGTGCTGCCAGGCTGGTGCTGGCTCACCCATAGGCACTGTGGGGGCTGG